CGTGGGTTTTTGTAGGTTTGGGGCCCCAGAAGGAGGGCCGATCATTTTGGTCCGTTCCTGCGGCGCGGCTCCCAGGGGGGTTTAGGGGGAGACAAAATATTGTAACACAGTGCAACTTGTGGCAATTATGCAAGCATTGGATACATTGGATACATTGCATTAAGGCGTTCGCCGAAAAACGCTGCCGCTCAGCACGTCACCTCCAGGCGTGGATTCTTGGGCTTACGCCGCACCGCCGACCCCGTGGGAGGCTCCTGGTAGGTCTCTTGGGGGCCTCCTGGCAGAACTTTTGGAGTTTTTTGGGGGCCGTGTTGGGGCCTCTTGGAGCCTCTGGCGGGCCTCTTGGATTGTCTTGTGGGTTTTTTGGGGGGCTCTTGGGGCCTCCTGGAAGCTTCTTGGGGCCGAGGGCTCGAAATTTCCGTTCGGGCCCCCCGCCTGGGCTCACTCCTAGAGCCGTCTTGGGGGCCTCTTGGCCATCTTGGTGCCCTCTTGGGCCGTCTTGGAACCTTTTTGGGGTCTTCCTGGGCCGTCCGGGGGCGATCTTGGAGAACTCTTGGGCTGTCTGGGACGTTGTGAAAGCAGGGAGTGGGACGATTTTTGTTTCTGGGGGTCCTCTTGGGGCGCCTCCTGGGGGCCTCTTGGGGCGTCTCGGGGGCCTCTTGGGTTGTCTGGGGGTCATTTCGGGCGTCTTGGAATGATCCATCGGCGACTCGGGGCCCTCTTGGACCATTTTGTGGGCCTCTTGGGGCCTTCGTGGCCCATCGTGAGGGCCGTGGCGCGTTCAGCCAGGGCCGGCCAGAACCCCCCCCCTCCAAACCGACCGGACCGGGCCCCGGGGGGAGGGGTTTGGGGAGGAGGAAGCATCCGACACGCCGATGACCCCGAGGGGTCGGCGGATTTCCATTCTAAAATGAGCTGGGCGTTGCATGTGAGTGGGAAAGAGCGTGCATCCGCGGGTACTTGGCTCAAAGCGGCCGGCCGCCCAGATTGGACTTCACCTCATCGCGAGGTGTACTATTCGCCATCGATACCATAATACTGCTTGAGATGGCTCGCCTCCTACTAGTGGGATTATCGCTACTGCGGTACAACAGATCTGGAGCTTGGCTTCGCCTGAGGCGAAGCTGTTGGTTGGGCCTCCCAACCCCTTTCAAACTTGGTAGCGGAGCTGGCCTATTGTTTCTTCTTGCTTTATTTTTCACCGTCCATGGCATTATCTAGTAGACTACAGACGTGGTGGAACATCGGGGTGCGGTGGGTTTGCGCGGAGGAATGTATATAACCACGCAGTATAGCAAGGACGCCTGCAGTGACACCTCTGCTCACGCGGAGGCCTTTTGCTTTCGTCCTACATCCCAGCGCTACTACACTCCTGAAGTCCACCTACCTACTCCAATTCGAAATTTCGACGACGTGATTTATCCTGCGGCGCCCCTGGCGCCGCGGGAGTCGCGGCGCCGCCATCCGCTGGCGGGCTCGGCGGCACGCTGCGCCCCAAGCCGACGGCGTCGGACGTGCTGGGTGCCGGCCGTAACTCCTCTAGCTGGTCGAGCAGCACCTGCGCACGGGCAAGCTCCCTCTCCCGTTGAGTGCACTTGCTGTCGGCCTCCTCGAAATGCACGCGGGCCTTCTCGCGAGCATCCTTGGATTTGTCCAGCTTTGTCTGGGCACGCTGGACGCATGCCCGTTGTCGGTCACACCGATCACCTGGGGCTCTCGCAATGATAATCATGCATAGCTGGACCGCGTACTCGAGCTTCTGAGGGGCTAGCGGCGCCTCGTCCATGCCGAGGGCGATGGCGGCCCGGAGTCCGCGGCCCGTCGCAGCCGCCATCTCACGCAACGTCTTGCGGTAGGCGGCGAGCTCGCGGTCGCCCGCGCCGGACGGCGGCTCGACCCACGAGGGGTGAGCACGCGCATCCTGAGGCAGCGCGGGGAGGATGCCGAGGGCAGGCAGCCTCCTCCTCCTCCTCCTCCTCCTCCTCCTCATGTCGTCGTCGCCGCCAGACGCCGTCGGCACACAGTCGGGCTCGTCCTCGAATCGCACCCTCGAAGTTGAGCGGGGCCGTGGGCTGTCTCGATCCTCTGCCTCTCGGCGACGGCGGCGCAGTTCCGAGCGCCGCCGGTGGGGCATCTCAGCTCGCTCGTCCTGCAACGGTTTGGCGCGTCGTGGCTCAGGAGTGGAAAAAACACACAGACACAATTAATCGGCGATTCCCAGAAAATATAGGAAAATATGGGAAGTGGGGGGGAAGACAAAAACACAGAAAATATGGGAAAATATGGGGGATATGTTTATTTGTGTGTATTTATTTGTGCGTCCCAGTTCCCCTTCAGTGGCGGCCGCTGCTGCTGCTGCCGCTGCTGCTGCTGGTCATGGGCTCGCGGCCCACCTCCGACTGGGCCAGGATAGCAGCGCTGGCACAACAATGTGCCAGGAGAATTCAGGTGCTCACAGTGGTCACACCACCAGCCGGGGGGAGGCGGAGGTACCCATGGGGGTCGATGCCCGCTGCCGAAGCCTGGGTGCCTTCCTCCTCCACGCCCGCGGCCTCGGCCGCCCTGCGTCGACATCAGGCTGTGATGAAGACGAAGGAGGCGTACTGCTGCTGCGACCCTCAAGAGGGTCCTGGAACGTGCTCGCCGAAGCCGAAGTCGCTGTCGACGATGCCAGGCTGGTTCTGCGCGCGCAGGTCCTGGCCCCGCGGGCCGGCTGCGCTGGCTGTCGGCGCGGCCAGCGCCAGGCCGCCCAAGCGCCGATGGCGTGGCGCAGTGGGCGCGGGCTAGCGCGCGTAGCCGCCTGCCCCGCGAGAGGTTCGCCATACCTGGTACGGCGCCCAAAACCTCTCGAACCGGGGCGGCGGCTAGGAGGAGGAGGAGGAGGAGGAGGAGGAGGAGGAGGAGGAGGAGAGGAGGAGGAGGAGGAAGGAGAAGGAGGAGGAGGAGGAGGAGGAGGAGGAGGAGGAGGAGGAGGAGGGAGGAAGAGGAGGGGGAGGAGGCGGACGGAGGAGGAGGCGTAGGAGGAAGAGAGGATGAGGAAGAGAGGAGGAGGAAGAGGAGGAGGAGGAGGAGGAAGAGGAGGAGGAAGAGGAGGAGGAAGAGGAGGGAGAGGGGAAAGAGGAGGAGGAGGAAGAGGAGGGAGGAGGAGGAGGAGGACCAGTGTAAACCAAAGGGTCATCAACGATGTTGGAAGTAACGCTCTGTCCAAGCTCCCTCTCCACAGGCTCCTACAACGGTTAATTTCCAATGTGGGAAGTGTTTCGTTGGAAGACAACCGTTTCAAGATCCGGACGCATGCCAATGCATTGCTCTGTGGTTTTTCAACGCCACGGACAAACGTGACTGTCGCGTCCGGACGATCCGGAATCGTGCCAGAACGCCATTTTTGGGACTTCCACACCGCGAGCCAACATAATTGTTGCACCCGCATGGTTTGGAATCGTTCCAAAACGCCATTTCTGGTACGCGGATCATGGGAACCCGTGAAACTCTTGCACATGTGTAAAACGTATGTGCGCGGCGTTAAGGCGGAACCAAATTTTGAAAAGCAGCCGCCCTCAATCCGTGAAGTTCTTGCAAATGTGTAAAACGTATGTGCGCGGCGCTATTTTGGAAAACGACCACCCTCAATCCGTGGAGCTCTTGAAACGTGTAAAACGTATGTGCGCGGCGAGAACAACATTTTGAGAACGACCCGCCTTCAATCCGTGAAGTGTTGGCAAATGTGTAACATGGATGTGCGCGGCGCTGAGGCGAGAGCCACATTTTGAAAACCACTTGCCCTCAATCCGCGAAGCTCTTGCAAATGTTTAAAACGAATGTGCGCGGCGCTTCGAGAGCCGCATGTTGATAACGACCCGCCCTCCATATGTGAAGCGACTGTCACCGTTTGAGTTTCAGAGTCCTAAATGGTGAGGAAGTCTCAGGCGAAACGCTCGACCCGCCCCAGACAGTGGCCTCGGGGTGCGACAGGGAAAAATTATTTAGAAAGACGAGGAATGGCGGACGGGGGGAGGAGGAGGAGGAAGAGTAGGAGGGAGGAGGAGGAGGAGGAGGAGGAGGAGGAGGAGGAGGAGGAGGAGGAGGAGGAGGAGGAGGAGCAGGAGGAGGAGAAGGAGGAGGAGCAGGAGAAGGAGGAGGAGGAGGAGGGGGAGGAGGAGGAGGAGGAGGAGGAGGCGGAGGAGGAGGAGGGAGGAGGAGGAGGACAAGGACGAAGACAAGGACGAAGACGAGGACGAGGACAAGGAGGAGGAGGAGGAGGAGGAGCAGGAGGAGGAGGGAGGAGGAACCCGAGGAGGAGTCGGCGGAGGCCGAGGCGGAGGAGGAGGAGGAGGAGGGCGAAAGGAGTAAGACGAGGAGGCGGAGGAGGAGGAGGAGGGAGGAGGAGGAGGCGGAGGAGGAGGAGGAGGAGGAGGAGGAGGAGGAGGAGTAATTATAAGAAGAGCAGCAATGCTTCTAATATGACGACTTTGAAGAGTAATCCAAATACGACTGAGAATAATACAACTGTTACTAGTAATAATAACCAGCAAGTACAAACACGAATAACGTTAATAAGGATTATACTGGCAATCGTAATAATATTCGTTGTAATGGCATTATAAGTAAAAGCATTAATATTATCAACAATAGAAATAATGCGAATAATCATACTATCAATATGGGTACTGGTAATAATACGAATACCGATAGCACGAAGAAGAAATATATTGTAGTAATAATAAGAAGAAGGACCATCCGAGTAAGCATACTCATAGTAGTAGCGATAATACTAATAATTTGAATAACAATAATACTAATAAGAAGAAGAGGAGGAGGAGGAGGAGGAGGAGGAGGAGGAGGAGGAGGGGAGAATGATGATGAGGAGGAGGAGCAGGAGCAGGGAAGGAAGAAGAGGAGCCGTGTGAACCGGGGAAGCAAGGGGAGGGGTGAGGGATAGGGAAGGGGGAGGAGGCGGGGGGGAAGGGAGGGGCAGGAAGGCAGCAGGCCCGACAGGGGAGGATGCCACCAAGCTGCAGATCTCTGGCATCCCTCCGGGCGCTGCCTGGCAGGAGCTCAAGGACCGCCGCCCTTCCACCCACCCCGTGCCCTCTCGCCGTCCCTGCCTGTTCCCTCCTCCTCCTCCTCCTCCTCCTCCTCCTCCTCCTCCTCCTCCTCCTCTCCTCCTCTCCTCCTCCTTTTCCTCCTCCTCCTCCTCCTCCTCCTCCGCGCTGGGATCGGGGGAGAGGCCCGCGCGGGAAACCCCAACCGAGCACAGAGAGCGCCCAGAAATTCGGGGACATTCGTGGTGTTGGCCCTTGCGAAGCTTGCAACTTCTCCATCCGGCGCTGAAGGCACGGTGGCAGAATCGTCAGAACATACAACATCTGATGCCGAGTGCGCAACAGTTTGGTCGGACCCTACCGTTCGGGACTGTATCCTCTGACCACAGATTAAGAACACCCTTTCGGGCATTACCAAATGAAAACACTTGGAGGACCTTTCTAGGAACCCTAGCCCTCTCGTCTGACCACAATGGGCTTTTCTTCGGGGGACTTACTTTCTGAACGCGAAGGGCGAATGGGAAATCCCCGGGGAACCCTTTCATGAGAGCGCAGCTACCTCAGGGCGGCGTGTCATCTGACCCAAGACATGCCAACCCTGAGGGGGGAAACCGTCGGCATTGTTGCTACCTGGTCACGCATGGCAGGAATCATCTACCACACATCGAGCAGTCCTTGGAGGGCCCGGTTCTATGCACACGAATGTAGAAACCCGTAGGTTATTGCACCGCCGCTCACCAAAAAACGACCATCCCGCCACCCATGCCATTGCATCGGAATGCAAGTAAGACTCCCGTAGTGCCAGCTCTGTCTTGGAGGGGCATGAAACCCAAGCGTGTGCGGGGAAAACACGCATCGGGAGTGTGAGAAGCCTAGTTTGTCGCAGTGAGCACTTGTTGAGCGAAGAGGGGAGGGAAGGTGAGGGGGTGGGAGGAGGAGGAGGGACCAGAAAAGGCGGAGGCGGAATAGGAGGATTGGATTGGAGTGGCAGTGTTCTTCGCCTCTGCCCTGGCCTGTCCGGGAGGATCATTTTGCATCTTGCGGCACTGTGGCCCACGCCGAGACCACGCCGATCATGCCAGGAGTCGCCTCGTCAGCTCGTACCTTCCCTCTCCTGCTTGATGGGGATGCGAGAGCCGACGCCGAGGAAGGCAAGGTCGTTGTTGTCGACCTCACATTGGGCAGGTCCCATGCTCGATCGGCTCTTTCTTTCTTTCTCTCTCTCTCTCTCTCTTGCACGCCAGCGGTTTCCAATCTCTCTTCCAAAGTTTGCATCGTCGGAGGGACGAGAGGAGGAGAAGGAGGAGGAGGAGGAGGAGGAGGAGAAGGGACGAGATGAATGGGTGGAGGATGATGGTCAGAAGGGTGAGAGGGGTCGGGAGGCCAGGGGGCAGTGAGGGAGGGGGGCCGACCTCAGCCACTTGTGATTGACCCTTTTCTGGTTGCGTCAGAAAGGGCGTCGTTCCATACGCGACATGATTGCGGAAGGGGCTGGCAACACTGCTTCACGATAGAGTGAAGTACCGTGAATGGGCACTACGGATTTTGAGTAACTAATGTTAAAACCATAGACTGCGATCTCGGCAATCAGCAATGGGTTGCCATCTCGATCCTTCGCGCTGGCAATCAGCTAACCAAGCAAGGGTCGCCTTTCAACGCAGAAAGAATTATTGGGACCGTGCCTGAGCCACAAACGCTTAGCAGTATTAGCTCGAGATAATTGGACGCTAACGCAAACTTGAGCGCCCATACCGACTTTAGCAGTAACCGTCACGCTGGTGGGAATTGTGATAATCTATAGGATGGCAGAACGCAAGCTGGACACATTCGCAAACCATAGGTGATGTGAGCAGCCGAGGACAGCTCACCACAGTCGCAAACCACGAAGTATCGTATACATGCTGACAACGTACAGCGCTGAGGCTTTGCAGAAGCTTCCCAGACGCTTCTACAGCCGTGGCGCCGACAGAAGGTCCAGCTCGGGTTCGGAAGGGGCTCGGTGGTTCCTCGGGTATGCTTGCGATGCCCCGCAATTGTGCGAGAGAGCCCGTTACCTCGGCTTCGGCAGAGGGAGGGGTCATTTTCAAAACGAGAGGCGACGACGAGGGAACACCTTCAAAAAGGGGTCTCGGCCTTTCTTTAGAAATGCACGGTTTGATTTTTAACAGAAAAAGTATGAAACAGGTCGTTCTTTACTTTGCATTCCTTCTGGCAGCGCCATGACTGTTGGAAGCCTCTCGGCCCGGAATCCCTTCGGAAACCGTTCGAAAGCCCTGCGGAAGTTCCGAGAAACCGCTCATGATTTGTTTTGTCATCGGCCTCTCCAGATTATCTCAGAGGCCTCGTCGAAATTGATCATAGAGTTGTCAGAAGCTTCCCGTTTACTTCTCAGAAACTTTTTCAGAAACATCTCATGCGCCTCTCAGAGGCTTCGCATAAACTTTCAGAGCCCTTGCAGACGCCTCAGAAGCCTTTCTGGAGCTTCTCGTGAGCCTAAGCCTCTTAGAGGCTTCGCCGAAACCTTTCAGAACCTTCGCAGACGATTCAGAAGTCTTGATGGAGCGTTTCTTGAGCCTCCCAGAGGCGTTGCAGAAACTTCAGGATTTTGTCTGAAGCCTCTTGCCTTTTCAGACACGCACCAGACGCTTATCATACGCGTTCAAGGGTCCGCTCCCAAGTGGCGCTCGCGTTCCGGATCAGACGCTATCAGATGTTTCCAAGTGGCCCCCCCGCAGGTTCTCTTGACATCGCTCGGACGCGTGATTTTTTCCCAGCGGGGACCATCGAAGAGCATCCCGCGCCATCTCTGAACGTGAGCGCGCTCAGAGGCCGCTCCTGAGCTCCGAAGGAGCCGCCCGCCTGCTCTCCGAAGAGGCCGCCCAGAGGCCCCCGAGAAGCTGCCGCTCCGAGGCTCCCGGAAGACGCCGCTGCCGCTCCGCGGGGCCCTCGAGAGGCCGCTCCGAAGAGCGCCCTCCAGAGGCATGCAGCACCGCGACCCAACGGCTTTTTCCCGGCGGCGAGCAACGGGGGGGAGGTGAGGAGGAGAAGGCCTCCTCTCGACTGGACGTACGAGAGACCTTTCGCCGGAGTGACCTTGGGTGCGGGCGCAAATGGGTCCCCAGATGGCTTGAAACGAAGCGGTAGCAGCGGCTTGCGCGCCCAGGTTCGGTCCCCCCGCGACCCCCAAAAAGCCGCGCACCAAAGGTCACTCTTACCCAGGGTCACTCTTGCGTATAGCCGATTCTCGCGGGCGATGTTTCTCCCCCAATCCCCGAGTTTCGCCCGAAAAGTCTGGCCGCTCAGAAGAATGGGAAAACCCTGGGATACACCCCAAGGGGGCTATTCGGACGCACCCCTATCGAGAATGGACACCCCCCCGTCGTATATCCCAGGGTTGGGCCCCAAATTTCTGGTCCATTCGGAAACCCCACGAAGCCTGGGATAGGGGTCGACGCATCCCCTGTTAGATTCTCGGAAGGCGGCGGGACTTCTCAGAAGCTTTCGCACCTTCTGATAAGGTTTTTTCGTTCGCCTTCGGGGAAGGCTTGGAAGGCATCTCGGAAGGGAGACTTCAAGACTTCTGAGAGGGCCTGCCCTTTCTCATTTCCCCCCGCGCTCGCCGCCGAGGATCACGACACAACAAGTTTCAGGAGGGGAACAAAAACACAAAGACACAATTCATCGTCGATTCCCCCGAAGATATGGGAAAATATGGGAAGTGGGGGGGAAGACAAAAACCCCAAAAATATTGGAAAGTATGGGGATTCCTGTTATTTGTGTGTATTTCTTTGTGTGTCCCAGGGCCCCTTCAAAGTTTCGTGCTGAGAGACCGGAAGTTTCACTCGGAGGGCTCCGATCATTTCGCCAGGTGCTCGACGTGCTCGTCGGTCCCTCTGCAGGTGGTCCTGCATCGGGGCGCGCTGCAGCAGCTGCGCCTCACCGAGAATCGCTCGCTCGTCCCCAGCTCGCCCGTGCTCTTGCCTGGCCTCTGGAGAGATACGCAGGTTGCAATCCGACTCTTCCGGGTGGTGGCCATCGGCGCCAAACAGTTCGAATTCTCATCTAGTTGCGAGTTCTGGCGGGGGAGGAGGTGGGAAGCAGGGGGGGAGGAGGCAAGATGAGTCGGGCAGAGCAGGGAGAAGGGGAGGGAGGAGGAAGGAAGGATGCGGAGGAGGTGGAGGAGAGGGTGGAAGTTGCAGGAACAGGATGCAGGAGGGTCAGGACAAGGAGGATGAGAACGGACATGAGAGGAGGAGGAGAAGGAGGAGGAGGAGGAGGCAGAGGGGGAGGAGGAGGAGGAGGAGGAGGAGGAGGCAGAGGGGGATGAGGAGGACGGTGATGGTGATGCTGATGGTGACGACGATGATGATGATGATGATGATGATGATGATGATGATGATGATGATGATGATGATGATGATGATGATGATGATGATGATGATACTGATGATACTGCTGATGATACTGATGATGATGATGCTGATGCGGATGTTGATGATGATGATGCTGATGCTGATGCTGATGTTGATGCTGATGATGATGATGGTGTTGATGATGCTGATGAGGATGAGGATGAGGATGATGATGATGATGATGACGACGACGACGATGATGATGATGATGACGACGATGATCATGATGATCCTGATGATGATAATGCTGATGATGGTGGTGGTGGTGGCGATGATGATGATAATGATGACGATGATGATGATGATGGTGGTGGTGATGATGATGAGAGTGATGATGCCGCTGATGATGATGGTGATGATGATCAATCAATCAATGCGCCGGCTCTCCTTATCTCCCCACTGCCGGTAACTCGCGCAAGGAAGTTTATCATATGGTATGTGATAAAACATGCTCGCTGTATCTGCGGACCCAGACAGCACCTTGCAGGATCAGTGTGCGAGAGTTTCAGGATGTCGCTGTGCAGGCGTGGGGCCGACATGGCGTCGATGCTGGCGCAGGCGATTGCCCCTCCCCACCCCCCCACCCAACTGGAGACGAGTGAGTCCGCCAGCCAGGATTGCACGTATTATTTGTTAACCTCAAGTGCCAAGCGTCGAATTTGAACAGAAGAGAAAAAGTTGGCTCCAATTAGTGTTGCGTGGATCCATGCCGTGCCGGGTGAGGAAGGCAGCAACCGCCAGACTCACTTGATGAGAGTTTCGAGGCATTTCTGCATGATGGTGACGAGGAGGACGACGATGAGGAGGAGGAGGAGCAGGAGGAGGAGCAGGAGGAGGAGCGTGGCACAGGGAGCGAGCTCCGTGGAGCTTCGCTGGAAGGTGCCCGCCGAGTTCTCTTCGAGCTCTCCGGGGGTCAAGGGCTGTCCTGGCGCAACAGGCCCCCTCTGTTCCTGGGCGTGGCCGAATCGCTGCCCAGGTTTGGCCGATCGATCTCGGGGTTGGGCAGGAAGGTCAGGCAGGGAGGGGAGGGGAAGGAAGTCACCACCCACCAAACCACCCCAACCCAACAGGAAGGTCTCGATTTGCCCTCCATTTCCAGTTGGGGGGGGTCGGGGAACATCGAGAAAACACATATGGAACCCGTACCCCCCCCCCAACCCGAAACTCGGGTCTTCGGGTTGGGTTGGGGTGGTCTGGTAGGTAGTCAGATCGATCTCGGGGTTGGGCAGGAAGGTCAGGCAGGGAGGGGAGGGGAAGGAAGGGGAGGGAGGGAAGGCAGGGAGAGGTTGTGGAGGACCAGACGGCGCGATGGGGAGGAGGAGGCGGGCTTTCGCTCGTTGGTCGACTTGGGTGGTCCGGCAGCCGCCGCAGGACACCAGATCACTGGCGAGGTGCGCTTCGAGGATCCTCAGCATGCGCAACTGGCGCTGAAGACGCTGAATGGCTCAGAGGGGGGGAGGGAGGAGGAGCAAGGGGGGGGGAGGAGGTTCGGGGAAACCCAGCACACATCACTGGTGCTGCAACACAAACTCCCGTCCCAAGTTGCCTCTTATCTTGTAGCCCATGCCGCCACAGTGCACGGGCCGTGGACCAGAGGCACGTCTCATTTCCCCCTTTGTGGGCCCTCCGGCTAGCTGCGCTGCGGCTGGCCTGGGCGAGGGGGTCGGCGCCGGGGGGCGCGGGGGCGCTGCGCCCCCCGGGGGTCCTCCGTTTGGAGGGCAGCGGTGTTGCTGCAGCTTGCGGCACTCTGGGACGGCTGCCCTGGCTGCCTGATTACATTCTGGCGGGTAGTCGCAGTGCGTGCGCCGTGGGCTGAGACTTCGCCCGCGGCCGCTCTGTCGTGCTCTGGCACCACCGCGCGTCTCCTCGCGCCTTCGATGTATTTATGTATATATATATATATATATATATATATAAATATCCCCGTCTCCCTGGCCCCATTTTTGATAGCAGCGGCGGTTGTCTGGTTGTGTTGCCAGCTCGCCGCGCTCGTCCGGCCCTTGCAGCTGCACGGTAAATAGTCCTTGTTCACCTTTGCGCATCTTTGCACTTCGGTGTTGTGTCGTGACAGCCGCTATGGTTATACTGGCAGGTTGTGCGCGCATGTCTTGTCATTCATGCACCTCCTTTCCGGCGCTTGAAGCATGGCGCGCGTGCGATGATGCGATTTTTCTTCCGCGTGGCGGCGTTGCTGCGTCGTCGGCCCCATCATCGCGGCTGGGTTGCGTAGCTGGTCATGGTGACCTTACCAATCTGCCTCGCAGCAATTTGCTCGTCTAGCAGCATTTACAACATTTTCCTTGCGCTTCACTGTATAACGCCGCTCTGGTGCTTCAGTGGCCGCCAAGTCGCACCAGGCTGTCGCGCTTCAGTTCCCTTCGAGTTGATCCTCGCTTTCTGGCCGCTGCGCAGGCCAGAGGCCAGAGCGCCGCCGAACACCTCGAGCGCCGAGGAGGAGCCCCCCCCCTTGTTCCTCGCCCTTCTTCCTCTTGCTCCCCCTCCTCCTCCTCCTCCTCCTCCTCCTCCTGATGCTCCTCTTCCTCCTCCTCCTCCTCAACGCACCCGTGGTCTGCACTTGTGCAGTGTGCGGCGCTCCGCACGCTGCGCCTTCGCCAATGATCGATCGCAGTTTGCGCTTCCATCTGCTGCTCGCGCTTGAGGATCGCAAAAATGCGCAAAAAAGAAGCGCGTAACATGCGCAAAATGCGCATTTTGCGCATAAAATGCGGAAAAATGCTGCTCGCGCTTGAGGATCGCAAAAATGCGCAAATGATCGCAACATCGCAAAGAAGCGCACTGTTTGCGCTTCCATCTGCTGCGCTGCTGACGCAAAAATGTGCGCAAAAATGGGTAAAGCGGAGGAGGGAACGTTTGGGACGGCGCGGCAGACAAGATGAGGGTGGAGGCCGGCAGGACAGGATGAGGTAATTGTACAAGGGAGGGCGAGGGGGAGGGGCAAAGAGGGTAGAACGCAGGAGGGACGTGGTTGGACGACGCAGCAAACAGCATGATGATAGAAAAAAGACAGGAGGAGGGGAATACTACAAAGGAGGGTGGGGGGAGGGGTAACTCGCGTAGAGCGGAACGAGACGAGGAAGTGATTGAACGACGCGGCAGACAAGATGAGGATGGAGGAAGACAGGACGAGGCGAATTATAAGGGAGGGTGGGGGGAAGGATATCCCGATCAATGAGGAAGAAGGGCGTGGTTGGACGGCGCGGCAGACAAGATGATGATCGACGGGGGCAGGGAGAGGATAATTCTACAAGGGGGGTGGGGGGCAGAGATAAACTGAATAAAGCGGAGGAAGGACGTGGTTAGACTGCGCGGCAAACAAGATGCGGATGGAGGAAGACAGGAGGAGGAACATTCTGCAAGGGAGGGGAAGGGGGAGGGGGAGAGAGCAGAGAGGCGGAAGGACGTGGTTGGACGTCGCGGCAGACAAGATGAGGACGGAGGAAGACAGGAGGAGGAACATTCTGCAAGGGAGGGCGAGAAGAGTGATAGCCAGGGCAGAGGAGAGGCTGGAAGTAATTTGACGGCGCGGCAAGACAAGACGAGGATGGAGGTAGACAGGGGGAGGATAATTCTACAAAGGAGGGCGGGGGGGAGTGATATCCAGAGTAGAAGGAGGAAGGACGTGGTTGGACGGCGCGGCAGACAACATGGTGACGGAGGAAGGCTGGAGGATGGGAATTCGACAAGGGATGGTGAGGGGGAGGGGGAAAACAGGGTGGAGCGGAGCAAAGAATTGGTTGGACCACGCGGCTGACAGTATGATGGTGGAGAAAGACAGGAGGAGGGGGATTCTACAAGTGCCTTTTGTGGGGTGTGGGGGGGTATAACCTGCGTCGAGCAGAAGGGGGGCATGATTTGACGACGCGGCAAACACGATAAGGATGGGGGAAGGCTGGAGGAAGATACTGTTACCAAGGAGGGGGAGGGGGAAGGATAACCAAAGCAGAGCGGATACCATGAGTGGTTAGACGACGCGGCATTCAAGATGAGGACGGAGGAAGCCAGGGGGAAGTGAATTCTACAAGGCAGGGTGAGTGGGGGAGGGGGGGCAAAAGAGAGCAAACGCAAAGCGGAGGGAGGAAGTGGCTAAACAACGCGGCAGGCAATCTATGAAGGAGGGAGAGATGAGGATGATAACCTCACGAGGCAGGGTGATGGAGGGAGATTGCCAGGGTAGAGCGGAGGGAGGACGTGATTGAACGACGCGGCAGACAAGACGAGGACGGAGGAAGACAGGGAGAGGAGAGTTCTACGAGGGAGGGTGAGCGGGGGGATAACCAGGGTAGAGCGGAGGCAGGAAGTGGTGGACGGCGCGGCAGACAAGGTGTTGATGGACGAGCAGAGGAGGATGATCATGCTGCGCGGGAGGGTGATGGGGGAGGGGTCAACAGGGTAGAGCGGAGGAAGGAAGGGATTGGACGACGTGGCCGACAAGATGAACATGCAGGAAACCAGGGGGATACTATGAACCCTACAAGGGAGGATGAGGGGGAAGGGTGAACAGAGTAGAGCGGAGGACATAAGTGGTTGGAGGACGCTGCGGACGACATGAGGATGTCAGAAGACAGCAAGAGGAGGAGGAAGGATGAGGAGCTGCAGGAGAAAGAACAGGAGGAGGGATGCGAGGAGAGCGGCGAGCAGGGGGTGGGGGAGGAGACGAGGTATGGAGGTGGAGGAGGCGGGGGATCTGACAATTGGATCAGTTCTGAAGAGCAGGCACAGGAGCAGGAGCAAGAGGAGCGGGATGAGGAGGAGGTGGATGAGGAGGAGGAAAGGAAGAAGGAAAGGAAGGAGGAGGAGGAGGCGAAGGAGAACGAGGAGGAGGAGGAGGAGGATGGGGGAGGAGGAGGACGGGGGAGGAGGAAAAGGTGGAGGAAAAGGAGGACGGGGAGTGGGGTGAGGAGGATGAGGAGGAGGAGGAGGAGGAGGAGGAAAGGGATAAGGAGGAGGAGGAGGGTGAGGGTGAGGGCACTAGGGAACGCGTCAGTCGGGCCGACGCGCCCCGCCCGCGGCGCCGCGCGCCGCGCACGCCGTGCCTCGCGCACAGCGGTCGCCGCCCTCGGCGGCTCGCCTGGAAACCGACGCGCGGCCAAACCGCGCCTTCGCGAGCGCCCGCAGGCCTCGCGGCACAGCCCCCCGCCGACGGGCCCTGCAGCAGGGGGACGCTGCAGGGACGCCCGCAGCTCCCGTCGGCGGGTCCAGGGGTTTCAACCGTGCTTGGCCCCCAGAGGCCAAGGCACCCCAGGAGGGGCAGAACCGAGCCCCCCCCCAGGCCCCCTCAGGGTCGGCCGCGCCGCCCCAAGGGAGGGGAAACCGAAAAGCCCCCCCAGGCGCAGCACGCGGCCGCGCGGGGCCCGCAGCAGCACTCACTGTTGCTTGCAGTCGTTGGAGTCGGGGGCGGAGGCGCCCCAGGAATGGGCTCCCATCCCTGGGCCCGCGGCCTGCCCGCCTCGGCGGCCGCGGATGTGGCCTGCACGCCCAAACTGGTAGTCCCGCAGCACGCTGTCCAGCGCGCGCATCGATTCGCCGAGGGCCCGCACGAGTGACGCATCGTCGAGCTCCTCCTCGGCCTCGGGGTCGTTCCTCACGACCTGCTGCTCTACGAAAAAGGTGTCGGGCACGGAGGCGCCCGCGCGGCCCGCCTGGGCTAGCCGCTCCACCTTGCGCACGAACGGCCGCACCTGGAGGTGCCTGCTGCCGAGCGCCCGCGCGGGCGCGTTGACCCATTGCTCGTAGTCGATCCGCTCGAGCGCCGCGACCTTCATGGCCCTTCCAGCTGCAACAATATCTGGATGACGGGGCTCCGTCTCCCTGCGGCCTTGTCCTCGGCAGGCGAACAGCTCGCCAGAGAACGCCACGGCACCGCAGGTGCAGCGCATGCCCCAGTGTCCCTCATCCAGCTCGCCCTGCGGCGGGAAGGGCTCCTTGCAGTCCAGCGCCTCATACACTCCGCAAGAGGGAATGAAGGCATCGGCGTCGGCACTCAGCTCCTTCACCGAAATTGTGCGCCCAACCAAGGCCCGTGGCGGGGCCAGGCGCTCCGCCTTCTGGTCGCGTCTGAGCTCCTTGCAGCGGGCCGCAGGGTTCGGCGCAGCGGCAGCATGTTCAGAAATGTTGCGGCGCAGGATGTCGGCGTCCGACAGGGATGTCTCGACACCGTCGCGGGCTCGGAGCTGGGCCCGCAAGACGGGCTTGATACCTCCCCAGCGGCGGAGCAGCTCCTCTTCGTGTGGGTCGCTGGCGGAATTGCGATGCAGCAGGTCCTGCAGCCTGGCGATCTCTCTCCTCGCTGAACCAAGCTCATCCATTAACTTGTACACCAATCTGTCTGCAGAAGCCCGCGCGCCCGCAGCTCCCCGCAGCACTTCCCGTGCCATTGTCCTCAAGCAGCAACACCCGGGCCGGCCATGAGCGAAAGAGGCAAATGGCGACCAGGGGGTTTGAGGCCGGCTTGAGCCAAAATGGCTACGGAGAAGGAGGAGGAGGAGGAGGAGGAGGAGGAGGAGGAGGAGGAGGAGGAGGAGAGGCAGCAGCAGTAGCAGCAGCGAGGGTCAAGGAGGACGTAGCGGAGGAGGAGTTCGAGGGAGAGATACACCATGAGCAGGAGACAGGAACCGAACAGGTGGATGAGCACACAGAGAAGCATCTTCTGGGCAGCGGTGTTGAACGAGGAGCAGGAGCAACAATGACAAGCACGTCAAGGAAGAGGCGGAGAAAGAGCAAAGGAGGAGGGCGAGGACGGAGGAGGATTATGATCGGCCGAGCACGAGAAGGATGGACAGCAGAAGGACTGGCAGCGACACAACGAGCAGGATGAGGAGAGGAGGAGGAGGGGGAACAGGAACAGCACCATGAGAGGGTGGAGACTGGATGAAGGGTACCTGGCTTCTCTACCAGCAGTGGTGCGATTGGTCAGTGATTTGATTTTTGGGCCCATCTTCGAAGACGTGTTCAGTGGGCCACCTTGCCACCCGTTGCAGCACATGCGACGGGGTTGTCTGAACGTGCGGTAAGGTTGACAGGTGCCTTGTGGCCACTCGAGGTCATGCGGTCAAGTCTTGGACTGCGTCCACGAGTTTGCGTGTACTTCCGATGGGCAGGGGGGAGGGGGAGGACAGGCAGCGGCAGCAGCAGGTCGCCGAGCGTTCGCCGCTGCCGCGCCGTTTCGGGACTTCGGGGCCTCGCCGAGCCTCTAAACCTCGACAGCCCCAGCCCCCCTTGTGCAGCCTCCTTGTTGTCTGCCCCGGCTCAGCTGGCAAGATCAAAACTCGGTGTGGGCGGATGGGCGGGCTCAGGCCCATCCGATCTCGTTGTGACTGCTGCTGCCGTGCCACCCATGCCTTGATGAACTTCCCTGCGTTCTGGGCGCGCGCAGTCCAAAGAGATCTTACGCGATGCAGTTCGAAGCAGTCGAGGCAAAATGTCTGCGAGCATTGCGCATTCGCCTCTTCGGCTTTCGCTTGTATCTGGGCCTGCACAATGTTCAAGTGCGTTCGCTCTGCAGGGCTCGAGCTAAACTGTGTTTTGGCGAAATCGTGGATCGTACCGTTTTGTTTTCGGTCTGAAGCAAAGGCGGAACGACGACAGAACGAGGGAAACCGCAAACGTAACGAAAAGCACGGTTTAGGTTGAGCCCTGGTTTGTTGTTCCCCCATGTTTGGCTTCCCCTTGGTCTGGTCGTCCTGGAGGAGCGCCTCGACCTTTCTCGCAGCAGCGAGTGCCACCATATGTTAATTTGCCACGTGCAGGGTCATGTCCTCGGCGGCCTCATTCGTTGCTTCGGCCAGGTGGACATGAGCCTCTCTGTATGTCTCACCATCGTCACTGTGGCGCTTGATGGCTGGTCGATAAGCTCCGGATTATTGCCTGCACGATCTCCAGCTCGGTGTCCCGCCCCGCGTCGCGCACCGCTAAACTTGTGGCCGCCTCATGTTGCAGCTACCCGCACGCTTCTATTGCCTTGGCTCGTGCCGGCTTAGCCTTTATGACCCCGTGAAAGAAGTTGGCATCGCGGATCGCCCAGTCTTCGGCGGTTACCCAGCGGCGCACTGCCGTCTGCATACTCACCTCAATGTGGGGAACAGGACGGGTCCGTGGCCCGCTAGGCTCTGCAGGGACCCGTGCAGTGTCCGCCGCTGCTCTCCGGGAGCTTCGGCGCAGGCCGCGGCTGCGAGCGTTCGTGCCAGCCCCCAGCAGCCCAGCGGCGGCGAGGGCGTCCGCCGTCATTCGGGGGCCCCAGGCGGTGTGGTGACCACGCCGTGTGGCGAGGCCGTGGGGTTGCGAGGTCGCCGCGCGGTTTCGGGACTCGGGCCACTCTCTGGGGGTGCCTCGGACGGCAGGGGGCCTCCAGGGTCCTGAGGCCGTGGCGGCGACGGCCCGCGCGGTGAGGTCTCTTGGGGGGGTGCGAGGTCACCGCGCGGTCCGTCACGGCCACGGCTTTGGGGCCTGCGGGTCGCGGTGAGGAGGTGGGCCCCCGAGTGTACGCCTCGGGGCCCGCCAGGGGCTGTCGGGCCCGCTCGCGAGAGCACTCCGCGCGGCGCGGCAGCGCTTGCGCTCAGGAACCGCTCGTCTCCAAGCGGTGGCGGTTCGCTCTGCGGCGCCGCCGCCGCGCGAGGGGCCGCGGGCTGGCCGCCAGCAAGGGCACATCGCACGGGCCAGCTCGCTCGAGCCATGATGGCCGCCATCAGGGGGGAGATGGCGAGGGGAATGAGAACGGGAGCGAGACCGTCGCCGAAGTCACATCAGAGAAAAGAGGAACTATTGCCTGCCCGACTCGCGCGAGCAGCTCGAGGCCCTCGCGCCTGCTTGCCAAATGGGCACCCGAGGAGCGGACACGGACGCCGCCTGCAGCGGTTGGGCGGACGGCGGAGAGGGGGGGTGCGGGGGAAGGGCGGGGAGCGGGGTAGGGTGGTTGGCGGGGAGCCTGGGCGGGGGGGTGGGAGGAGCGGGAGCGGGGACGCAGCGGGGGGCGGGGAGCGGGGAGAGGGTGGGGCATGAAGGGGAACGGGAGGGCGCGCAAGAGGGGAGGGCGTGGTTCCCGCCGAGGCCCTCCGAGGTGTCCCCTCGAGGCCCCCCGAGGTGCCCCCGGAGGTGCTCCCCCGAGGTGCCTCCGTGGTGCCGCCGAGGTGCCCCGAGGCCTCGGAGGGCCCCTGGGGGCGCTCCGTGGCCGCCGCCGGGCGCGCCTGGGAGCGGCAGCGCGCCGAGGCCTCCAGAGGGGGGGAGGGGCTCGTTCGGGGGGGGGGTCGCTGCCGACGGCGGCGGGGCAGCCTCCACCGGGGGCAGGCAGCCAGCTCGGGACTTCGCAGATCTTCATCTCGCTGGACCAGTGGTCCGCCCGCACTCGGCCGGCCGTCTGGGGGGGCGCCGGCCTTTCGCTGGCCTCGTCGCCCTCCTCCCATTGATCTTTTTGTTCCTGCAGCTCCCATTATTGTTCACATTCCTCCTTCCCTTCCCTCTTGCTACCGTTCCGCCTCCTCCTCCTCCTCCGCCTTCACGGTCCGTTGATATTGTGGCTCAAGTTTTTGCTGGCAGGCAGCGTTCTGAGCAAACAGCTCTCTTCAAAGGGCGATTTGGGTGTCGTGCCCAGGCGGACATGTCTCTTCCTCTCTCTCTCTCTCTTTCCCGCATCCGCCATGGAGGTTGTCCCTCTTCGGGTGATGAGCCCGTTGACGCGACCGTCTCCTGCACCGCCGCACCGACTGGAGCTACGCCGTTCACTGGAGTCGCTGGTGACGCCAGGGGTTTGGGGACAGGCCTGGACGCCGTCGGCAACGCTCGTCAAATGAGGCCTCGTACTGATGAAGGTGGCGAAAGCATCCGTGCAACCCTCAGTATAATGGGATCCAGCATGGCCACAACGCCGGACCTCTGCATCATGCAAAAGTCCACCGGCAAACATGAGACAAAAAACTACGTCGAACTGTGCGATCGCATGACGACCATCGAGAGGCAGATGAATGCTGGTTCTGGCGAAGCCAAGGAGAAGGCCCTGCTTGCGAAGGACGAGGCCAATATCCTTGAGGTGCAGAGCTCCATCGGCTCAGCTCGCACTTGCAGTTCTCCTCTCACACTCGCCCGCTGGTCCAAGGGTGAGAGCTCCCCTGTGAGCAGTGGCAGTTTCACAGGTGGTGGCAGCTATGATAAAGGTGCGGATCCGCGTGAGTTCTTGATAGGTGGCTTCGAACCCCGATGCTCGCTCGCGTCATGACCCAGCACATGAATACGCAAGTGATCCCGAACCTTCCCTCGCATATCAAGCCCCCCGCCGAAGTAAAGGCTTACAATATTAACGGGGCCTTTAGTGTCTCGCTTAGCAACGCCACCGACACCAAGGCCATTCTTGAGTTCGTCGAGACCAACGGCCTCTCGCCCCAGTCGAAGAGCGGTCCCGTTCAGCTTCGCGCGTGGCGCGACGCCACTCTCGATGTTCACCTTTGCAATGTCATTATTGGTCTGCGTGGCAGGGTCTTTCGCCGCATTTTGCCACCTGTGCCGCCAGGGGGATTGGACAGGGCGCCTTCCTTGGGGCGAGCGGGCACAAGGGTATTTGTTGTTTTCGCGAAGAACGACGGGGCCACTATCTCGCGCACTTTGGTCGAGAACCCTGATGCGTTTGCCGCCGTCGAGCCCGCCTTCGCGGCGTTCGAGAGCCTGCAGATCGGCAGTGAGCAGGCGGCTGCGATGGCAAAGAGCGCTATCGAGTAGGGGTCCCTTCCTCCGACCTCGTCCGCTCACCAGCACGTGCTTGGCGATGGTCGCGCGCGTGGGCGCCCTCCTGCGAGTGGCGAGACGCGGCGGCGATCGGCCTCGAGTTCAAGCTCGGCTTCTGCATGCTCTACCCCCCTTCCTCCTCGTCGGCCTTCGCCGGCAGCTCTTCCAGTTCCAGCTCTTCGTCTACCTCGCTCGGCCGCGGCGGCCGTCCTCGCCAGTGCCCTGCTGAGCCTTTTTATCCATGCAGCGATCGCTCGATCGCGTCGCGGAATGCTCGGTCGCTGCTCGGAGTTCTCTCCAGCGGCCGCGCTATATTGAGACAGAGACTGGAAGTCTTGCGCCAGCTCGCCATGCAACGCGACGTTGTCTGCATTCAGGAAGCTCGCGGGTCCAGACGTGATTTCGATTTACTCAAAAGGTATGAGCAGTGTGATGGACGGGGGTGCGTTCTTCGAGGATCGCTCTGCTGGTAGTGGCCCCAGGTTCGTTCATCCGCGTCTTCGCTTGCAGTTTCAAGTTTCTTGGCATCACTTTCTCGTTCCTGGCCGCGCTCGAGGCCTCGCCCTCCGCGGCGAGCGCGGCAGCGCGCAGATCATTAACGCGCGCAGAAATCCCTACCAACAGTTCTTCGCACGAAGGGCGGCATTCGGCAGATGCGGCGACGCGCGCTACCAGCCGATGTTTGTGCATCGTTCTTGCTGGGCGACTTTAACTCTCATGCGAAAGCGACAGGATCGCGCCGCGCAGCGAGCAGGGCTAGGCGTGGCATTTGCAGTCTCTGGACTTTCTTCAGCGAGTTTTTTCCCGCAGTTGTGCGAAGTTGAGCAGGGTCGCTGCGCCCGTGGCGCGATGGGCATTTCTGGCGCGCGCCCTGTCATTGCTTCCAATTGTCGACCAGATAGAGTCTGCTGCGATGTCCCCAGCACCGTCCTTCTTGACTATAAGCCAAATAGCATGGTCCTGTGAGCCCCCAACGGCGACTGGCCGCTGTCGGATCACGCGCACGTTCCTCGGCCCAGAGGTTTTCGGGCCCCGCCCTAGGTCGCCGAGCGCCCGCGGCCCTCCATTCCCTTCCAGTGGTTCCTGGAAGACGCCGGGCCCCTGGGCGCCGATCCTGGGGGGGCCCTCGGGGAAATCGAGGGCGTCGTCAAGGCTGCCGCCAAAACCGCCATCGAGCACGCCCGCTCTTGAGTCTTGAGGCGCCCCCTCGATTGAAGAAAAGACCCACCCGGCTCTGTCGGCGCTGCGAGGTCTTCGGCAGGGTCGCCTCATATTTCCATGACGCGCTCTGCAGGCTTCGCCCGAGCTCGGCGCTTGCATTTGCAACCGATCTGGCGCGTGGACCGACCTGCTCGGGTATCACGCACAAATACGTCGGCCGATTGAACAGCGATGCCGAAGCTGTCAATTTCCCACCTACCGAATGCATGCCCTGGAGTCTAAGCTGACGCTTTACCTCTGTGCATGAGAGTCTCGGCGGGGTCGCATCACTCTGTCAGGTCATTATGATCCCGCTGGTTTGAAGCTTACCGATCCTCGTGCAGTGGCCCGACAGTTCGCTGCTCGCCGAGGCCGAGTGCACGGTTGCGCCTTGGGCGAAGCCCAGCGCCGTCGTGAACTGCAGCCGCTTATCCAAAGAGTGCCCGATCGCGCTGGGCAGCGCTGACAACGGACTGTTAAGTCGTGCTGACAACCGACCTCTCATTCGCGTGCTCCAGAAATCCTGCTCTGAAGTACAGTGCGGCTTTATCCCTGGACGGCATTCTACCGACAATATTGTGGCCCTGGGGTTTCGGGCTGTTGAGTGCTTCACCCAGAGCGGTTGACAGCGCGCAGGCGACGTGACCTTCGAAGCATGCGCTACGTTCCCCGCACTGCTGCATGCTATGCTCCGTCTCGTTTTGAAAGAGACGAATCTCCTTGGGAAGGTGCGCGGGGCCGTCGCTGCCCATCGCCCCGAAGCGTGGATCTCGGTCAACTTCTGCGGGCCCCAGGAGGGTGGGCGACGGGTTCGCCGCGGCGTCAAACAAGAGTGCCCATCATCCTCATCATCACCCTCATCATCATCATCATCATCATCATCATCATCATCATCATCGCCCTTTGTTTCTTATGTGTGGAACATGTCCCTCGCGCGCTCGAGCGGGGGCCCTCGCGCCCGCCGCCCTCGCCGACGACGCAGAGGCGCAGTCGAGCGCGAGGTGTGCCGCTTGCTCGCCCCGCTGCTCTCTGTCTCTCAATGCGCTGCCGCAGCCGCAGGTCTCGACCTTGACGCGACGAAGACTCAGGAGGAAAAGAAACACACAGACACAATTCATCCTCGATTTCCCAGAAAATATGGGAAAATATGGGAAGTGGGGGGGAAGACAAGAAACCAGAAAATATGGGAACATATGGGGATTATTTTTATTTGTGTGTATTTATTTGTGTGTCCCAGGGCCCCTTCAAAGACGTCCATCATCCCTCTGCAGAGGCCGGCGCCCGATACGTACTTGTTTATCATGGTCTTTGCTGGTCTTCCCTCGGGGTTCAGAGTCGTCGATTCCGCCTAGTGCCTTGATATCTATCTCGGGAAGGGCGGGCATCTGACATGCGGGGGCGCCCCTGCATTAACTTGCCGGGGCTCGGGGCATCAAGAGCTCGGCTTTCGGACGTGCCAAAAGCATCGCCGTCTTCAGCCAGAACGCATGTAGCTGCCTATCCTATACGTTGCAGTTTTTCTCTCCTGCTCCTGCGGCCTCCGAGTGCGCGGGCCGCTGGGCAAGCCCGAGTGGGGTGCCCCTACAATGCCCTTAGTCGTGTCATTCATGAGAATCTGGAAGAGTGGGGGCCTCCCATGTCAGATGCGACGCCTCGATCTTGTCTTGCGAGCTGCGTTATAGGCTCGCCTGGAACTCCCTCGAGCTCTTCAGAGCGCCGACGCGGGCCCGCGCCATGGCCGAGAGTGGCGAATGCAACATCGCATGGGGACCTCTCCCGTTGTGGAAGGAGACAATTGTTTTAACCCTCGTATGCAACTTGAAGCAGATTTGCGATGTTCCGTCGGCTCCTGTTTCAGGCGCTTCCAGGGTCAGGAGTAAGACTGAAATATGGATTCGCTTGCAGGGCCCCAGAGGTTAACACGTGCCCACGGTGTTCCGCATGCAGTTCGAAGCTCATTGGTTCTTCGAATACTGTTGATCTTGACCGTGTTCTGATGTCTCTGAGGAGCCTGGCCAGTCTTGTTCCGTTCTCTGTTCTTGTCTCGTTTATGCTGCCCTTTTCCAACGCTTGGCGTTGTTCCGCTCGGTTCCGATGGCCCGCCCTTGGATTGCATTTACTGCCGTGCCGTTAGTCCTGACTCTCTCTTTGACTGCCTGGAGTGCCCTGCCGCTCTTGCTGCATTCACCAGGTCCTCGGGCCCCCCGCCCCGTTCTGCGGAGACCCCGGAGGAAGAACGAGCCGTCATTTGTCCCTGGGCGCTTGGAGCCTCCCAGCACGACCTCCTCCTCCTCCTCCTCCTCCTCCTCCTCCTCCTCCTCGAGCTAGCAGATAGCGCCCTCTCTACGGCGGAGTGGTGCCCGCCCGGCTCCAGCGGCGCCGCCGGCGCGCGGAGGGGCCGGGCCTGGGCCCGCGCCCCCCCCCCGTCCCCCGCCGTGCGCGCCCCTTTTCCGTTCGGGGTCGTTCTCTTTCGCGGAAGAGTTCGGAGCTCGTGGCCTAAACATTCCCCCCCCCGCGCGCTCCCCGCCCCGCCCCGCCTCGTCCTCTCTATCTCCTCGTTCTCGTCTTCCTCCTCCTCCACCTCCTCCTCCTCCTCCTCCTCGTCCTCCCCGCTCTGCCGCTGCCGCTCCTCCTCCCCTCCGCCCGGCCCCTCCTGCTGCTCCTCCCTCTGCTTCTGCTCCCGCCCCGCATGCCAGCCTCCCTCGGCCTCTGCCCGCTCTCCTCCACTGCTCCTGCTGCTCCTGCTGCTCCTGCTCCTGCCCACCGAGTCCCCCTTCGGCCTCTCCTTGCGACCCCCCCAGCCTTCTCCTGCCCCCCCTCCGCGCCTGCCCTGCCACAGTACAACGTTTGCATCCCCGGGCGATACTGGGCGTGGCCCAGCGGGGGGGCTGGGGAGGTGGGGGGGCGAGAGGGTTTGTCACATCACGATGTGCGCCGGCGCCGTATGGGAACAAACGCTTGGGAATGGCACAGTCCCAAAGTCCTGGACGGCGCTGGCGTGAGACGTGACGTGACCAAGGGAAGAGGGGGGTCGAGGGGGCGGGAACGATCACAGGCGTTATCGCGATTGATGAAAAATTGTGCTCCACCGAGGGGCGGAGCCCGTCGGGCGGGCCGCCGCGCGGATTCGTCAGGCTCTGGGGGGTGGGGGGGTGGGGCGACGCTGATCTAAGACCAACTATTGCGAAGGCCTGACGGCCGGTGCCGCCGACCCTGAAGAGGACCACGACGTCGGCCACGACGTGGGCGGAGACGGAGGCCGTGGAAGAGGAGGAGGAGGAGGCGAGGAGGAGGAGGAGGAGGAGGAGGAGGAGGAGGAGGAGGAGGAGGAGGAGGAGGAGGAGGAGGGAGGAGGAGGGAGGATGAGCGTGGATCTGGAGGTTGGAGAGCAGGAGGGGGAGGAGGAGGGGAGGAGGAGGAGGAGGAGGAGGAGGAGGAGGAGGAGGAGGAGGAGGAGGAGAAGGAGGAGGAGGAGGAAGAGGAGGAGGAGGAGGAGGAGGGGGGGAGGAGGAGGAGGGGAGGAGGAGGAGGAGTAGGACAGGGGGGTGGCTTCAGGCTCTGGGGGGGGGACGCTGATCAAAGACCAACTATTTTGTCCGAGTGTGTCCAGCATGCGCCCAGGAGGATATCGGCGGCGAGCGAGTGGGGGAAGCGAGAAGGAAAAGGCCTTCTCAGAAGGTGGCAGGACTTCTCAGAAGCCCTCGCTCGTTATGAAAAGTGTCCTGCGTCTTCGGGACAGGCTTAACCTCGATGTTTTTTGTTCGTTTTGACCCTCCCCGATCTTTCGGCGGTGAATGAAACTGGTCCTAAAACCTCCTCGTCGCGGCAGATAGTTGCCTTGCTTCTGGGGCGGTCTGGGTAATGTTTGGGGGTTCCTCCTGCAGCGCAATCATCCATCGTGGGCTGCACCTGGGAGGATTTGCGAGCATCTTCCAATAGGAATTGCTTCGTTTTGCTTCGCGAATTTGCTCAAACTCGCCTGCTTGGCACTGATGGCAGAACTCCTGCTGTTGCTTGGTCGGCGCGCGCGGCGACATGATATTGGTTTCCCTCCACTGTTGGGCGGGTAACGTCTGGGGGTTATTGGGAAGGCCTAGCGGCCCATGCCGCCGACCCTGAAGGGGACGGCGACGACGACGGCGGTGGCGGCAGCGGCGACGCCTTTCTTGTGGCTCTATTGAGAGCTTCTATGGCTCTGTGGGAGCATTGGGCTGAGGCCGCGGCTGGGGCCAGGGCTGGGGCCGGGGTCGAGGCCAGGGCTGGGGCCGGGGGCTGGGGCTGGGGCAACGGGCCGGGACCATGGCTGCATGCGGCCCCCTGGGCTGGGCCGTGTCCGGGTCCGGGGCCGGGGCCAGAGCGGAGGCCAGGGCTGGGGCCGGAGCGGGGGCTGGGGCGCGGGGGCAAAACGTATTTGGGTGGCGACCCCCCCCCCCCCGAGACCCCCCGGGACCCCCCCGGGACCCCCCCACCCCTGGCGCGGGGAAGGGATCAAAGGGAGGGGCTTCTCTTTGATTCCATTCCGATGTTGTTCAATTTTGCTCTGGGCGGCGCGTATGAAGAAGAGGGCCCAGGCAAATGGAACAGAGGAGGACGGAGACGACGACCCCAATAAAAAACCCGACTCGAACGGAAAAGCGCCTCACACACGCCGACAGGGTCGGCGGATTTCTCCAGGGGAATAATCTATTATGGGCACGTTGTGTACGCGGGAGGATTTGTGAGCATCTTCCCACGAGGATTGCAATTTGATGTTTTTCGTTTTGATGCGCGAATTTGCTCAACCTCGTTTGCTTAACACTGCTGGCACATCTCCTTCTGGCGCCTGGTCGGCGCGAGCGTCGACGTTGGAGAAGTTTCATAATTCCAGCGGGATAATTTGTTGCGGGCTACCCTGCAGGCGGGAGGATTTGTAAACATCTTCTCATGCGGATTGCAATTGGGCGTGTTTCGGTTTTATTCGCGAGTTTGCTCAACGTCGTTTGCCTAGCACTGTTGGCAGAACTCCTGGTGGCGCCTGGTCGGCGCGCGCGGCGAAGTGGGAGCAGTTTCCCTTTTTGGAGGGGCGGGTTGGGTAATTGATGGGGTCTGGTCCTCTAGCGAAATAATTTATTGTGGTTTACCCTGGACGCGGGATGATGTGTGAGCATCTTCTCACGAGGATTGCAGTAGGAGTTGTTACGCTTTGATTCGCGCGTCTGCTCAAAGTGTGCCTGGCAGTGCGGGCAGAATTCCTGCTGGTGCCTGGTCGGCACGCGCGGCCAACATGGCGACATTTACCAGTGTGGACAACGAAACACTCGCCATTGTTTTGTGTTGTCCACGCGACGGGGGGTGGATTTTCTGAGGGCCCGCGCGGGGCCTGAGCTTCAACAGTCCTTCTCAGGATGGAGCTCTCTGGATAAAGTTTCTGAGCGCCAAGTGTCTGAACCAATATTAATCGCTTCGCTCATTCCGCCGGCCCGTATTGTGCCATCGCAGGCGTTTGCTTGCGCGTTCGTGGCCTCTTGGAGCCTCGGTGGGGCCGTTTGGGGCCTCTTGGCGCCTCTTTTTGGGCCTCTTGGAGAACTCGGGAGGCCTCCAGGGGGCCTCCTGAGCTCTCGTGACGGTCTCTTGGGGGGCTTTCGGCGGGCTCTTGGCGGTATTTGTTGGTCCTCTTGGGGCCTGGGGCCTGACGTTGTTGGTCCTCTTGGGGCCTCACGGGAGCTTATTGGGGCGTCTTGGGGGTGTCTTGGAGAGTCTCTTGGGGCCTCTTTCGGGGTCCTGGGCGCCTTCTGGGGCGGAGGGCTCGAGTGTCTGAACCAATATTTTCCATGAGAACGCTGTTGGCGGGCGCCGCGGGGGAAACAGACAGAGTCTCCCCTTCTTGGTGGGACACCAGTCCGTCCATAGGACCGCCGAAAAACGAAACTTTCAGGACTACACCTTAGGCGATGTTTAAGAAAACTTAAGTTTTCGGCCAGAGCACCCTGGGCGATGCTTAAGAAAGCCCAAATTTTCGACCAGAGTCTCGATTATTCTTAATGTTTCAAAGTAAATCCTAAGATGTTCATAGACATTTGGGGTTTTTATTCAAGTTCTGAGGCTATGAATTTCTTAACCCATGATTTCTTAGGCATTTCGCAGGGTGTAGAAAGAGTCTCCCCTTCTTGGTGGGACACCAGTCCGTCCATAGGACCGCCGAAACGAAACTTTCAGGACCAGACGATCTCTCAGACGGCTGGCGGACTTTCGAGCCTCCCGACAAGGCCCGCCCCCTTCTCGCTTCCCCCCCCGCTCGCCGCCGAGGACCAGCCTCCCACGCGTGCCATTCTAGCCGTCCCCCTCCGAGGAGGAGGGGGGAGGAGAAGGAGGAGGAGGAGGAGGAGGAGGAGAAGGAGGAGGAGGAGAGGAGGAGGAGGAGGAGGAGGAGGAGGAGGAGGAGGAGGAGGAGGCCCGCTTCTGCCCTGGCACAGGTCCACGGACAAGACCAAACTGCTCATCACGGGCATCGCGCCCGGTACCGACTGGCAGGACGGCACGCCCCCCGGGGCGCGGCTCTCGTGCCGCCGGGGGCGGCGGCAGCGGCGGTGGTGGTGGCAGCGGCAAGTACAGGGGGCAGGAGCATTGCTGCTGACGGTGTGTGTGTGCGTGTGTGTGTAAGTGTGTGTGTGTGTAAGTGTGTAAGTGTGTGTGTGGGTGTGTAATTATTTGTGTGCGTGCGTGGGTGCGTGTTTGTGTATGTGTGTGTGTGTGTCTGTCTGTCTGTCTGTCTGTCTGTCTGTCTGTCTGTCTGTGTGTGTGAGTGTGTTTGTGCTCGGCTGATGGGAGATGCCCGTGGTGATCCTCCTCCTCCTCCCTCGCCCCTTTCTCCTCCGCCCCTCGTCCTGCTCCCCCCCCTCCCTTTGGGCGCGCACCACGCGCTCGGCTGCCGTCCCCGCGTGCCACTGCGGCCTCTCCCCTCTTTGTGGCCCCTGGCCAACTGACCACCAGCGACAGTCCTGGGCCGCCTGGCGGCCCTTTTGGGTGAAGCATTCCGCCCCAGCCTGGCTGCTCAAGGGGCCCCTGTGCGCTGCCCGGGCGGACCTGCCCCAGTGCGTTCTCGGTCGTGGTCACGCAGTTCCCTGGCATCGCTCGGACGTGCGCATTTTTTTCTCGGCGAGGACCATCCAGGACCATCCTGGACCATCGAGCAAAAAAAAACACGCACGAAACCGAAGAATGTACGGGAAATGGACGTCCGAGCGATGGGCGGTGCGCGTATGCCGCCGGGCTCTACGTGGGCCCGGTCGTCCCCGACCGGCTCGCCGACCCGGTGCACCTCTTCCAGACCTGGCATCGCTCGGACGTGTGCATTTTTCCTTCGGCGAGGACAATCGAGGAGCATCTTTGATCATTTGGCGAAACAGCCACGCACGAAACCCAAAAGAGCGCAGGGAATGGACGTCCGAGCGATGGCCAGAGGACGATATTGTCCCTTGCCTGCGACACTGTCGCGCCCAGGCCGCAGCCTGTTGACGAAGGCCTGCACTGTCTAAGCTTGCCCCTCCGCTCGTTGCAGTCTGGATCACCTTCCGCGGCGCCCTGCCTCTTCTTGTCTCGTCTCCTTGTCGAGCTTAACTCGCCGCTCCGCCCCCCTGAGTTTGAGTCGGGCGCGTCCCCCTACAGGGGGATTTTCGACGACAAATGAAAAACACCCAACAAATATTCAAGAGATGCCTAGAAGCACTCCAAACAGAGTCCCCAGACTATTTTTGACTGTTTTTTGAATTTCCCCCCGTAGAGGGACAGGCCCGACTTAGGCCCGAGTCGCTCCACCGACCTGCGCGCTCGCCGGGTATGCAGCAACACCTGCCCGGGGCTCTCGGCGCGGACGATGGGAGGTGGGCTCCGGGCGCCGCCAACGCCGGCACCGTGCTTTCGCGTGGAGCCATGCATCGGGGGCGGCAGAGAGAGGGGTGATGACTAGGGGGGGGGGTATCCTGGCGGGGGCCATGATTTTTTCCCAGATTCCATGGCGCATTCTCTTATTTCATTACGTCCCCGGCCCCCCTCTTGGACAGCCCCCTGGGCCGCTCCCGCATGCAGTCTTCAGGGCGGCGTGGCCTGGCAGCTTTGCCAGTGCAGGCACTCCCTCGGGAGCAAGGTTGGCAGCTTGCCGCGCATACTCCAGATGGGTTCCCCGTGATTGTTTTTTCTCTGATCCGCGTTGCCGCCTCCCTCTTTCCGAGCCGTCTGTGCTTTGTGCTCGCGCCGCTGGAAGCAGCCCGGCTTTTGCTGTGACGTGTTTCAGGAGGGAAAAAAACACACAGACACAATTAATCGTCGACCCCCCCAAAAATATGGGAAAATATGGAAAGTGGGGGGGAAGACAAAAACCCAGAAAATATAGGAAAATATGGCGAATCTTTTTATTTGTGTATTTATTTATGTGTCCTGGGGCCCCTTCAGTGTTCCAGGCCTCCATCTTCACGGCCCGTGCCAGCGTGGCCAGCTGTCCGTTCCCGAGCCAGCAGCGAGTGCCTCCAGGAGGCTCCCGGAGGGCCTCCCGGGCCTAGGAGTGCCCCCGGGCGGCCGGATCATTTCGGGGGGGACTCGCCTGATTGTCCGAGGCTTGTTGCAAGTCGGCGGCCGCTACTCGACAAATCCTGTCGCGCGGCGTTTCTGGTATGCCTTCAGCGTGGCGGGACCCTTGCCACCCAGGTGGTCGTTTGAAACTGCGATAGTACGTGTCACGAAGCGCTTGCGGATGGCATCGATTCGTTGAGGGGAACATGTATGACAAAATCTGGGAGTTGTCGCGGTCTCCATCCTCGAGGCCTTCTTCCCCAAGCTCGACAACCCAGCTCCCATTCATGTAGCACTTGGCGTTGTGAGGCCACTTGTGTGGGGCACCTCGGAAAGAACCCCCCGCCGTCTTTCTCAAACGTGCCTTGCTACTAACATTAGCCTGCTCCGACGATTGCGACCAAAAGTGAGGTGTGTTGCAAAACAGTCGGAGCACCACCAAGCACAGTGATAGCGCAACAACTCATGTACAGCCCATGACATCGAATTGAAGACACATGTGGCCTCTGGCTGCATCGGTCCCTCAGGCGTCACAGGAGGAGGAGGACGAGGAGGAGGAGGAGGATCAGGAGGGGAAAACACAGACACAATTAATCGTCGATTCCGAGGAAAATACAGGAAAATATGGGAAATGGGGGGAAGACAAAATACCCGAAAATATGGTAAAATTCTGGAAATTTGTTTATTTGTGTGTATTTATTTGTGTGTCCTGGGGCCCCTTTAGAGGAGGAGGACGAGGACGAGGAGGAGGAGTACGACGAGGAGAGGACGAGGAGGAGGACGAGGACGAGGAGGACGAGGAAGAGGAGGAGGAGGCGGAGGAGGAGGAGGGGAGGAGGAGGAAGAGGTGGAGGAGGAGGAGGGGGAGCCCCTGGCCGCCGATTTGCCGCCCGGCGGCCAGGAGCTTAAGGACCATTTCGCCTCCATGGGGACCATCGCGTACGCCGACGTCCACAAGCTGGGCGGAAAGAAGGGCGGCGGCAAGGGCTGGGACGCTTGGGGCGCCCAGGGAGGCGCCGACTGGCTTCCCATGCCTTCCTGCCCTCTTCCTGGCCATGGCTTTGCGGTGACGATGCTCCGTCGTCGTTATCGGACCGTCGTTGTCCAATTTGAAACTCGTCGCACCCATGGGCCAGCAGCACCCGTGATGTGGGTCTGGCCGCGCGGTAAGCGCAGGATGCTCGGGCGATCTCACCGGCTCCCAGCATGCCTCGACCTCTCGTCCAGCCATTCCCCCACACAGTCCTCCTCCCATTGCTTCTGCAGGCCGTTTGGGGGGGCAGCTGCGTCAGAAGCCCAGCTGAGCGATCGGACGAGCCAGTAACATGGCGAACAGTATGGGAGGGCCAATTGTTGTACAGTTAACGCGCCTAGTAAGGACGCGCGCCTTCATCTAGGATACCCTTGCGTCCTCCTCTGTGGCCTGTCCTTTGCCGTTTTCACTGGTCGCCGCCGCCCAAACAAATCCCAACTTCAGCCCCCAAGGGTCTTGCGTCCTTACCACGCGTCCTTACTATACGTTTTCACTGTATCGGCGTTTCTCCCTCCCCTCTCCGCCACACCTACGACCATTACAGTCGTCTCGCTCTCCATCGACTCTGTCCTCGCCCCCCTCCACATCCTCTGCCCCTCTCAGCTGCTCAGCCTCCGCGTCGCGTCGCCTCCACCTCCTACCATCTCCCCATACCCCCCCCCGTCGCTCTTTGCTCCACTCGCTCAACTCGGCCTCGTCCTCCTCTTTTCCTCCTCTCGTCCTCCTCGTCGTCCTCCTTTCCTCCACCTCTCTTCCTCCCTTCGTCATCCTTCTCCTTTCGTCGTCCTCCTCCTTTCGTCCTCCTCCCTCCCTCCTTCCCTTGTCTCTTCTCTGCCTCTCGCCACCCGTGCCGCCACCAGGCTGCAGAGGCGCTGTGTTTGGCGGCTGCGGTGGCGCCGTTTTCGGCGGCGGGCGGGTGGCGATCATAAGAGGAGAAAAGCGTACCCATACCACTACCCCTTCGCCAGTTTTGCCTTTTTGGGGTCTCCTGGGTGACCCTCGTGGCCACCGCTGGATTCGCCCCGACATCCTGGTCCGAACGCACCCCGAGAGAGGTCTGGGGAGTAGTGGTATGGGTGCCTTTTGGTTTCCCCAGAACAGCGGGGGGGGGGGTCGGCGCCTGAGGTGGGAAGCCACAGCCAGAGACGGCGGGAGGAGGATCGGGCCGGGCGGGAGCTCCGGACGGCAGAGCTCGCTCGGCGGAGACAATCGAGAGGACAGGCACTCACCCTGGAAGGCCAGGGACTGCCAGCAGGGAATGATTTGGGAGCCCGAGGAGCACGCGAGGGACTTTAGGGCCACTAGACCCTGGGAGGAGGGACAGGGGAGAGGAAATTCTTCCTGCGGTCTCTCTGTATGCCCCTTTTTGGCCTCGCACCCTTCGACTGCAACAGACAGCCTTCATTCCAGGCCTTCCTGCCGTTGGAGTGCTAGACCTCCGCTTCGCCTCGCCTTTGTGACGCTGGAGGAATGGAGGGAAAGAGAGAGAGAAAGAGATGGCAGTTGCGGTGTCATAGCAGCCGCCTCTCGTAATAATTCGAACTAGACTAGGTGCATCCGTGGCTTTAGCCTCACACAGTTATCCAGAGGATCCTATGCAAAGCACGGCATTGGAGATGAATCCATCCGCTTCGCGCATTTCGCATTCCAATTTTGTGGCGTCGTTGGCATCTGCCCGTGTGCGCGCGGGGATGTTCAGGTCGTTGGGTTGTGGTTGGCTCCCCGATCTGTCGTGGGACGTCCGCGTGGGGGAGCAGTCATCGCCTCGCATGCCAAGGGCAGCATTCAACGGATCACGCCCATTCCCCACCTGTTGCTCTCGGAGTCCGCAACGATGTTCCACGAAGTCAGCCACGGAATCGTCCAGGCGTGTTCTTCCAGAGGCCTGCGCCATGCCGCCGACCCCCGGACGAGGGCGGACGTCCACGGGTGGGGCCCTGTGGGGGGGGCCTCGGGGGGCCCTCTGGGGGTGGGGGGAGCCTCTTTGGGGCCCCCCCTCGCGGGCCTCTTGGGAGTTTCCTGGGTGTCTGCTGGCTGTCTCGGGGGTCCCCTTGGGGCGGCGGGGTCGGGATGTCAGTTTGAGTTACCTCTCTCGGGCCCCTCTGCGGGCCCTGTTGGGGCTTTCTTGGGCCACCTTCGGCGCCTCTTGGACCGCCTTGGAACCCTCGTCGGCCGTCTTCGGGCCTTCTTGGGGGCTTCTTGGGTCGTCTTGGAGCAATCTTGGGGGCCTCTTGAGCCGTCTTGGACGCCACGAAGACCAAAAGTGCGAATCGACTAAACATATAATCCGTAAGGGCTTCGCCCCCTGCCGCTGGCCCCCCCTCTCTCGGAGACTGCGCTATGCAAGAGCGATGTCATGAGGCTTGGGCGCTGTCGTGAAGCAGTATCGGAACTTCATGCGAGGCCGACTCGTAATGAGCGAAACCAGTAGATGACCAGAGGGGTTACCACACCTGGCAATTGGTAAGACGTCTTGACCGTGCCGATCTGCATAAAGGGTGCTGCCGAATTTCGGAAATGTGGCAAATCCCTTGTGTTTTTGGACCCTGACCCCGCCGATCTGCGTGAGGGGTGCCAGCGAATTTCAGAAATGTGGCAAATCCCATGTGTTGTTGCACCCTGACCCCGCCGATCTGCGTGAGGGATGCCAGCAAATTTCAGACATGTGGCAAATCCCATGTGCTTTTGCACCCTGACCCCGCCGATCTGCGTGAGGGGTGCCAGCAAATGTCAGACATGTAGCAAATCCCATGTTGTTGCACCCTGACCCCGCCGATCTGCGTGAGGGGCGCCAGCGAATTTCAGAAATGTGGCAAATCCCATGTGTTTTTGCACCCTGACCCCGCCGATCTGCGTGAGGGGTGCTACCGAATTTTAGAAATGTGGCAAATCCATTATCGGACCCGGACCCCGCCGATCTGCGTGAGGCATGTTACCGAATTTTAGAAATGTGGCAAATCCCTTGTGTTTTCGGACCCTGACCCCGCCGATCTGCGTGAGGGGCGCCAGCGCATTTCAGGAATGTGGCAAATCCCCTGTGTCAGTGGACCCTGACCACGCCGATCTGCGTGAGGAGTGTTAATGTTTACCCACCCCAGCAATTCAGACAATACGTTTTGGGCGTGGTACAAATGCCCGTTTTGGGCCTCCCCCCGTCGCGCGGTCCGTCAACAAGGAACAGTAAGCAGCAAGAAGTCAACAAGGAACAGTAAGCAGCAAGAAGCAGAATTGTAACAGTGGAAATTTGGAAGCTGCAACTGGTACAGGAAACTGCGAACCTTCGCCCTACAGCCTGGTGGCCCCACAAGGGGGCTGGCGGATTTCCCCCAAGGATTTTAAAACTCTTGCTTATTTTGGGTCATCTCGGAAGTCGTAGACCTCTCTCGGAGCGTCTCTGAGGCCTCCTGGGCAGTCTTGAGGCCCTCTTGGCCGTTTTTGAGGACTCCTAGACTTGGAGGCGCCAGAGGCCCCGGGGATGCGGTAGGGAGCTCCCCCCTCTAAGCAGATTTCAGACCCCAGGTTAGGAGGAAAGGGGGAGGGTTGGCATCGCTCGGACGTATGAATTTCTTCTCGGCGAGGACCATCGAGGAGCATCCTGTATTATCCTATAAAACAAGCATGTGCGAAACCGAAACATGCATGGGGAATGGACGGCCGAGCGATGGCAAGGGAGGGGAACAGCCAATCATCTTACACGCCTTCGCACCTCTGGCAAGCGGGTGTCGGCAGACTCTTAGCCCATATGTTATCCTCACCTCCTCACGGGCCAGATGCCTATTCTTCCCTTACCTTCGTGTTTTCCGTCATTCCTCTCCCTCCAACATATGTCTCTCTCTCTCTCTCTCTTTCTCTCTCTCTCTCTCTCTCTATATATATCTCTTCCGTTGTTTCTTTATTGTGCTTATTTCTTTATCTCTCTGTATATATAGAATATAAAAAGACGTGGCAAGAGATCATAAGCAAGCATCCTTCTCCTTCCCCGTCTTCGCCCCCTTCCTCGTCATTCTCCTTCTCCTGCCCGTTTGCCTTCGCCTCACCCCTTCCTTCTGCCTCCTCCTCATCCTTAGGATGTGCTCCTCTTTCGGCTGCACCTTAAGATCCGCCGCGACCGTGGGCCGGGGCAGGAGGCAAGGGCGCCTTCGGGGCCAAGGGCGTCTTCGGCGGCGCCGGAGGCGGAGGTGGCAAGGGGTTCCCCAGGACGCGCCCTTGCCGCGAGGATGAGGACGGGGGGCACTGGGCTTACGTTGTTCTGACGGGAACGTGTGTGTGTGTGTGTGGGTGGGGTGGGGGGATCATTGTATTTCTGGAATCGTAGGCTTCGGCGTCCAGCCCGCAGGGAGCCAAATCCCTCGAGCTCGTCGTTTCGACTGCAAGTCAATGGTGAGCACCGAGGAAAACAGCCTCGGAGGAGGGGGGTGTGGGGGGTGGGGGGGAGAAGGACATGAGGAGGGGGAGGACGAGAACAAATATTAGGAGAAAAGGACGACGGGGAGCATGACGAGAGGGAGGATGCAGGGAAGGAGCAGGGGGAGAGGTGGAGGCGCAGGGGACGGAGGTGGACCATGGTAGACTCCAGGGGTGCACAACTTCGACTGGCAGGCTGGGAGACACCAAGGATTGGCGTCAAGTGGTGGACAACAGTGGTAGACGCCCGAGCACTGACAGGTTCCTTGCTCCCCCGAACATAAGAACCCCTAACCCTAGTAAGACGATGAAGACGTGGCCTCATTGCGGTCCCGTCTTCGCATTAGAGATTATGATGTTGGACGGTGTGGCTTGACACATCTGCAGAGATGGCCCTCCTAACTTAGGTCCCCTCCCAAAGGGTTAGGGGCGCTTTGATTGCTCATCACCTTCGTCGTCCCCCCTTCTCCTCTTGCTCCGTTTGGGGAAGTCCGGGGTTCGACTCGTCCTCCACCGCCCGCCTCCGCCACCGCACTGACTACAGCGGTGAACAACATGATTCATCGCTTCCCTTTGCCCCTGGCTCCGCCCTCCTCCGCACCCGGTTCGACACTGCCTCGGCCCCCAACTCCAGGACGCCCGGAGCGCTCACGGGCACCGTCCGCTACGAGAATCCTTATTCTGCGCAGATGGCTGTGGCGCAGCTGAACGGCATCTTCGTCAACGGCGCGCAGCTCCAAGTCGACAAGGACAACCAGCAGTGCCCGATTAGGGTTTCGTCGTTCCACCCCCTCTATCGCTGGTTTGTGTTCCCCCTCTCTCCTTCACTTCTGCTCCGCTTCCCTTCTTCACATGACTCCTCTCCTTACCTCGCCTTTCTCTCCCCGCAGAAGTAGTATCAGCTAGCGTGTGCTCTGTTTTCTTTTGTTTGATTGCGCGTTTGATTCCTCAATGCTCTGTGTGCTATCGTTTGCTTCGCAGTGGGACGTGCTGCTGTGCGTTGTGCCGTTGCCTCCCTGCGCCGCGCTCTTCCTCCCTTCCCGTTGGCCTTCGATGGGTGGAGAGGAGGAAGTCTTGCTGCGTCACCCCCACATACTGGTACTATGTGTGCGTCGCCCCCCTCCCCCCCCGAGGGACGACGCGCACTCCGAGAAATCTTATAGTATATGCGTCGTGGCAGGCGCTCTCTGGCCAAACCGCCCGGGAAACGACATACTGCGAGATAGGCATGTTATGTGTTCGGGTCGGACGCGCGCCTCCAAGGAGAACGTATCTATTCCTGTGTCCCAGTCGTGACGCTTCGCATAAAGACGAAACGCTGTCATAAGGAACCCTAAGTAAGGAACCAGGCCCCCTTTTCCACAAGTTCAACGTCGATCCCCCTTTGAAAACTAAAGACAACCTGAGAACAACTGTAAAACCATTCAGGGACATTGAGCCCGTTCCCAACGAAAAGAGTTCCTCATGCAGCGGCCCGACTGTATCCCCGCCAGCCCATCCGGAAACGATCGTTAGGCGAGTTGCTTGGACCAGGTACATGTAGAAACATGTGGTGGAACATCCTCCCACACGCACCTGAAAAACACCGTGTCCTACCCATCAAAGGGGGTGCCTATCCAGCATCGCATCGACTTCATCCATAACCGATGCCCAGGCACGCACAAGCTGTCTTAAGAGCCTCGTAGAGGCCTCCTGGTGCCATATTGGGAAGAGAGGAGGGGGAATGAAGGCGGGGCGG